ATAAACGTTTTTTTAGGCATTTAAATCTCGTTGAGAATACTAATGTACCTTTCTGAAACAGTTTATTTTTAAAAACGATCGATTTCAAACCAGAACCCAGTCTTTCGGTGTCATCATCTTCGGCACGAGGTATCACGTGAAAATTTTGCGTCCCTGATTGGACGCAGCCGCTTCAAACGTCTTCGAATGGCTCCGAGTTGCTTGATTATTTCGAACCGGACCCCATCTCAGCAATTCGTGTTGATCTAGGGAAAGCTAGAGATCAACCCGCCATCAACACCCAAATTGCTGAGAAAGATGCTCCGTCTGAAGGGGGCCTCACGCACTCACCGTCCTCAGGCACTCATGGCCCTCATACCCCTCATGCACTCATCGCCCTCACGGCCCTCACGCCTCTCATGCCACTCACTGCCCTCACGCACTCATGGCTCTCCACCCCTCACCGCCCTCACACCCCTCACGCACTCATTACCCTCACGGCACTCACCACCCTCACGCTCCTCACGCACTCATGGCCCTCATACCCCTCACGGCTTTCACGCACTCATGGCCCTTACCGCCATCACAACCCTCACGCACTCATGGCCCTCACGCACTCACGGCCCTCACCGCCCTCATAGCCCTCACGGCCCTCACGCCCCTCACTCACCCTCACTCACCCTCATACTCATGAATTTTCCTGGTTCAGAAACTCACTCACCCTCACCTCACCTGTGAAGATGAGGGTGAGTGAGGGTGAGTGAGGGCCCTCATGAGTGAAGTTTGCCTAGGTATGGGCCCCACACAGTGCAGTGTGCTTGGAAGTTCGCAGTTGGGGTAACAAGTCCATCGGAAGCATTTACTGCTCATCCTGTTAGGATGTAAGCTGGACTGGCGTCGATGGAGTGGTCGAGCGCACCTGTGTCAAGCAGAAGACTTCTCGCGACGTCGAGGCCTTTTTTTTAAGATATAGCGTGCACGTTCGGCACAGGAGACAACGCAGAAGAGGAAAAGCGTCGGCATTATTTCCATGGTTAGTCTTTTTCAGTGACTTTAGGGTGTCGAAACTGCAGTTTTAAAGGCGGAAAAGTTAGATGGTGAATTTCCGCCACTCTCAATATTTTTGACTTATTTAGTTGCGTTATTATTTCGTTACACTTTCAGGCGTGCAATTTGGAGTAATAATTAGTGCGGAAGAAATATAATAATAAAAACGTCAAAGGTAGGAGTCGATCCTTAAACAAACATAAATTGCACGTTAATATGCCAAGTTACGCTGAAGTAATGAGGTACCAGGGGAAATCAACGAGGAACGTGCGCTCTAAAAACTTCTGCACTAATAGGACTGCATAAAAACTGAAATGATATGCGCCCCATTTGCGGCACTATAACTACCTAGTGGCTTAGTTGTTTTTTTTGACAATCAATTCGAAGTTTGTCTTGCTTTTCTCCACTTTTTCAGCAAAAATCACGAGGCCAGTGCACCCCAATTCCAAGTTGTGTGTGCCGAGGCAATAAATAATAGGCCGCCTACTCTCTGCCGGACAATCTACTTTTATGATCATTCGACACCATATCTTTAATTATGTACCTGAAAAGTATACTATAAATTGAATAGTACTTTGTCAATTCTAGGCCTTTTTGTGCGTACATTAATAACGTTTTTGCTGTCAATCTAAAACAAAAGATAAAGCTACGAGTCGAATCATTATCCATGCATTTCTGCATTCACCACCGAAGATTGGCTTGGCTGTATGATAAGGCGGGCCCAGTATAATGCGACAGGGAGCGAAGCCCGCCGTATCATACAACCTTTGTAGCGAAACAGATCTAAGTGTATGAAAATGACTAACGATAGTCTGTCTGTACTAAAAATGAACGGACTTCGGCGTTCATGTCCTGGACCAGCGCAGGGCTTCTGTCGGGCACCTCTGGTGCTTAGTTTGATCAAATGGACGTCCATAGGTTGCTCCTTGAACCTAAATCAAGTCCGCGCTTATCTACGCCGCCTGCATTTACAGATATGCAGTTTTTAATTAATTTGCTCGCATAAACCTTTTAAGCTCAGTTGCTAATATTTTCTAGAAGTATAAATAAGGTTTATTAAAGCATATGATTGAATATCAGACATAACAAATGTTGTCAAGAGGGAGTATTGCCCTGTTCTGTAAATAGGAACGATATGCGTGGAGCGGAACAGTACAACAGAGTAGAAGAAGATTACGTAATTGCATTTTGAAGCGAGTGAGCCCGAAATTATACAAGGAACTTGAACCACGCTGTATATTGCTGGACGGGGCTGCCTTTTAGTTGAAAGGATTCGTATATGCCACAATTTTATCCTTTCTTTCCTTCTACTATATGCACATCTATATCTCTAAAAATAAAACGAAACGCCAAGATTGGAACCTTGTTTGCCAAGTGTCAAGTTGCCGGGTTGACGCTTGCTTTTAAGGGAGCTTGATGGACAGCTTCCTGAAATTTTAGCCGGTCTAGGAAAAAGGGGGAACTCACTCTTAGTGCTTATGCACACAGGCGACGAGTGAACGGCACTCCAGAGTGAGCTTCGGGTCGCCTCCATTCCCGACTGAGGAGGAAAATACCGCAGTATGGCTGGTGCCTTGATTTTTTTTCCTGTATTTAAAAGATCGATTTTATCTTCGTAGAGCGGCGCTTCGTGCTCTTGAATAGCTGAGCAGAAGAACCAAAGCCGCGGGTGTTCTTTTGCTCAACAGCAGCTAAGCGACTGCCCTCAAAATTTTTCGTGCCTCTAGTCTTCCGCAAAACACCGAAGCCAATCACTGTGATCGGTGAGATCCAATCACCGCCTAACGCTCCGAGCCACTCATTGAAATCACCATGATTGGCAGCAGCTGAGCGGCTGCCCTCAAAATTTACTATGCCTCTATTCTTTCGCAAAGCGCTTGGAGCAAATCGCTGTAATCTATGAGATCCAATCACCATTTAACGCTGAGAATAAGTTACTGAAATCACTGTAATCAACAGCAGCCAAGCGTGCTGCCCTCAAAATATACCGCGTCTCTACTCTTTCGCATAGAACTGGGAGTCAATCACTATGATCTACAGAGAAAGTTCAAGCAAATATGCGATTTGGAAAAAAAAATGGTTAAAATTGAAATCTTCAGGGTGATACCGAGCATAACGTTGAAGGTGATCGTGTCGCGCTCAATGTTTTACTGCGCTCTCATTTTTTAAGTAGCAACATGTTTTCTGACCTCGAAATTAAGCAAGTTCCATTCGTAGCAGGGATAGGCAGTATTTCAAATACTTTGTGTATTTGGCAGTTGAATTTAATTACAATTTGGGTAATGTATTTGACGTGTGTATTTAAATACTACAACGTGGGTATTTCAAATACAAGTCTAATTAAATACAATTTTGTGGGCGAAAATACATCCTTCAAATTTAGTGCCTCTGTCCAGAGCAGGAAGAAAACTACGTTCTGCACCGAATGCAGTGTCTCTCAATCAAGCACAAGCGTTTAGTGACTTTGTGGTTACGGTACTAGTCCAGGACAAGAATAGTGACGAAATCGACGTTCACAGACAGACTGGCTTGTGACAACTTGTGATGCTTTCCAGCCTGATTTCCAATCATATTTTTGCCTGGAATATTCTAAATGCGCGGGTCGCCCAGATTTTCGTGAGTGGTGCGAGTTGCAACAATAAAAAATTCTCTAGCTAGTGCTGCGCGTCTTGGTCGTCTCGGTTCTTCGTTGTTCTTTGTTGGTCTATACCAAAATGTAATCGACAAAAAAAGCTGCTTGAAGCTCAGTACTTTTTTCACCTATTGCGTCCAAGCTGATTACATTTTTGCTGTGATTATATTTCTATTACGTTACTAGAACCTCGCACACTAACTCCCGAGTGTGCGGTGCAAAATTAAGGTGAGATACCCAGAAACCCGTTGCAGGTGCCCTGAAGTCGCTGACGCAAATTTTGAGGAATGTATTTGGGAAAGTATTTGGAGGAAACCAAATACATTTGGTTGTATTTGTATCTTGTACTTAGATGCTTTTTTTGGAAATGTAATTAGATTTGTAATTAAATACATTTTTGACGAAGTATTTTGTATTTGTATTTCGATAAATATTTGCATGTATTTTGTCCATCCCTGATTCGTAGTGATCGGCTCCCCCGGGGTAGCACAGGAACGTAAAGGCACAATAATTTTTTTAGAAGGTGTATAGTTTTAAGAGAGACGGATAGAAGCCAAACCGATTCTTCAAGCTCGATGATGTTGACTTGAAGGACGCCTTCACTTAAAAGCGCGCGTGCATAGCAGGTCCGCAAGAATGGTCGCTATACTCCTCTCTCCAAAGTCATAGAATGCATAAAAGTAACTATTTAAGTAACAATCGTTTAAATTTTTTCAGAAATATTAAACCGTCGTTTTGGGTAGTGAAGAAGAACCTATATTTTTATCGATTTTCCCGCTAAATTTTGCGGGAAAAATGAGGATGACTAGGTCACGTCGCATCAATTTCCATACCATATTTTTGCGGGGATACTGAATTTATGTGTAGGTAACGTGACGTCAAATCACGTGACGCCAATTTTCTCATAAATTTAGGAGGTAACACTGAAGTGGTGTATAGATCTCTTGAAGTCAGGTCACGTGACAAAGTGACATTAATTTTCCCTCCAAAAGTCAGCGGGAAAATTGAAAAGGTGTACAGGTCACGCGACGTAAATTTTCCCGCCAAATGTAGCGTGGAGACTAAATTGGGGTCACCAGATGTCAATTTCTCCGCTAAATTTGGCTGGAAATGCACGGCCGGACGGCTGGACGGACGAATAGACGGACAAAATGTTGAGATAGAAGGGGGGGGGGAGGTTAAAATAATTTTATGCTTGAAAAGAACATTGCTCAACCTTTGTAGCTTTTGCGATGCTCATGTGTTCTGGTACCGATTCCGTATAAATATTTTTGTTAAGCCTTTGAAATTACGCTAACGGATGAAGCAATGGTTTCACCATAGTGTGCGCTTTATACCACAGATCAGACGACTTGGCCACCACGCATCTCTCGTACTGTGGTGTGGGAACAGCGAGAACGAACTTGGAATGGCTTACAACTGGTGGAAGTGAGTGTTTTCTGCTTCTCAATTGGTATCTTTGCTCCCACGAATGTGTAACGATTAGAATGCAGCCATCAGCTGAGGTAGATTTTACAGAGCGCTGGAAATCTACGTATAAACATTGCAATTTAGGGATGCTCCAGTCACACGAAAGTTAATTTTTGAAGAAAAGCAAAGGAAGCGGTTTACAAGGAGCGTCCGCGTTCGTTCAACTTAGGAGCATGTGAACAGACGTACATCTGGTCTCTACACCCATGCACAGCTGTGCAGGAACATCACTCTAACTATTGCAGGTATTCTTTCTTAATCTCTAGTTGACTAGATATTTCGTGAAACAGCAAGGTACGTTTGACTTCGAACGAATTCGAATCAGTCTACTCTTGGCTACTTTACCCGTTTTCTGCACTTGAAGTTTTCGTTTTCGGGAGATTTCCTGGAAATGCCAGCTTTGAGTCGACGATTACGTTCGTATATTAAACTATGCTAGTCTTCTAAACAATAAGAAGGAATTATATAAAGATTTAATCCGCAGGCACGAGTAATTGCCGACAGTCTTCAGCACCCTCCATGCAGGGAAGCTAAACGGCCAACTTGATGATGTACAGAAATATTTCTCTTAAAAAGGTTTGATTCCGATATTAGAACTAGCTTCGATTTTCTAGGCTACTAACACAGGAGCACCGGGTCGACTATGTGAAGCTATACGTGGAGACTTTACAAAGGACTGTGTACGACGAAGACATGTCCAGACCGTTTCTCGGATCGTCGCCTTCGAACGGAATATTGTCCGAGCTGAACGAAGGCGTGAACGACAACCCCAACAACGTCCTCTACGGAGATGGTAAGCTCTTTCCCCTTTTGCCTTAGACGCGACAAAGCATCTTTTTTAGACGGCATGAATCGAATGAAGGCAAACTATGACACGATGATTTCGAATCTTGTGTTGTAAATAAATTACTACTGAACGGAATATACCGAGTTCTTCTGGTTGTCTGTCAGTCTTTGCTGTAGTCGCCTCGCTAGAGTCACTGACAGCTGAAGAAGCGGAGAGCGTGGCTTCTTAGCTCGGCGCCGCTTGTTTCGTTGTTGGTTCTCCGACTTCTTTATCAGTAAATGCAACAATGTCATTGGCTGCGGAGCGATGATAGGATGCACGGGATATCAGCGATATCAGCGACTATAGTGTTTTCTTGACACAGATGCTAATAGAATCAGAGCACTTTGTTGCCATTCACCTACAGGATTGAGTCTGCTAAGCAGCATTACATTTTCGAATGTGGTCACGTATGAATACAGGGACAGCAAAGGGCGCATCAAAAGCACGCTTGAGGGAGCGCCATTTTTAGAGTGATGGTGCCCGCTTAGATTATTTCTAAGCTGCGAAGTTCCGGAGATGCTTCTTGGGCGACGCTATTATTTGTGAACTGCTCAAAAATGGTGACGAGTTGCTGCAAATGCTACGTCAATCAGCGGAGTAGCTTGACCACTTTTGACAACGTTGCTGGGGCTTACGTAGAGACACCACTGTGTGTCGTCAAGGCCAAGTAACCAGACAAAGCAACCCTTGAGGCCCGTTCACACTCTTGCAACCGAGTACGATCGAGACAGAAGAGACCTGTTGAAACATCTTAAAATTTCTGAGGACGAGGGAACACACTGGCACATTGGCGCCATCTATACGGTAACCCTGGAAATGCCCCTCACAAGAGCGAAGGTTTCGCGGGATTTCCGAGGTCAAATGTGCGTAATACCTCTAAGAAAGGCTCGTTTATAACGTTGGCAAAAGATTTTCGAGCCAATAGAGAAAGGATAATGCGCGAGAGAAATAGAAAATATGCCGGACCGCCAAGTTCACACTGCAACCCAATAGATGGCGCCAGTATATTTTCTCGTTGTAAGAGGTTTCAAGGCACCCAGTTCTAAGAGGTCGCAACAGTGTGAACGGGCCCATCCGATGTATAAGCCCTCCCACCGTAGTCAGATTCAACACTGCGGGAACGGACATTGATAAGCATTGCTTCAAAGGCTAAGAGTTGTAACGAAACGCTGAGGATTGTCATATCTCGGATGGCGCCGGTGGGAAGAGTCGTTAATTCGTGTTCGTTTCCTGGTAATGCACGCCACCATCCTTTTTGATTGCATCGTGTTATGCAGGAAACTTAACTGATAGCCCTTGCTTTTAAAGTGTACGCAAACTCTATACTGTGAGCGGCAATTGAAGGCGCACGCGAACTGTTAAACATTGCTTCAAAAGTCGAGAGTTACAACGAAACGCTGTGGATGGTTGTTGATGGAGCAGGTGTGTAGAGTTTCGTTAATTCTTGTTTCCTTTCCCCCCGCTATTGATCGTTTCCTCCCACCCCACCCACACACTCTCTCTCTCTCTGTCTGTGGAACGTGCGCCGGTCTGATTACAGTGCACTACTACGACTACTACTCGCCGCCCTGGTCCCTGGGGTCCGTACCGACGCCTCGCTTCTGCTCGGGTTTCGGTCTGGTGTCGTTCCCGTCTTTCGAGACCCTGTCGACTGCGTTCGCGTCCGAAGACCTCGTCTTCCCCTTTTCGCAGCTGATTGAAAACCGGCTGCACTTAGGTGAGAACAGCTGTACGCTCACGCTGTTTCCACACAAAAGTTGCACATCAAAGCGTCATACCTTATATACACGGCCACCCATAATCGCAGTTAAGTGTGACTGAGGTCAGACGTAAGTGTGGTTAAGGGTGCCCGTGTAACTAGGGTATAGTTGGCAGTAACATATATAATCATACTGAAGTCTAACTGCTGCTTAGGATGTCCGTCGGACACCCTTAGCTGTAGTCCAGTTTGACTTCAGTCCCACTTAACTGCCATTAAAAGTAGCCGCGGCATCACAAGTGTGCTACAACCTCGCGACCTGCTGTATCCTTTTAAAATAAAGAAATAACTTTGGAAACGACAACCAAACCGTTAAAAAAAAAAAGCCTTTAACGCTTTTATTTTTTATTTTTTTAGGAGGATATTCTTGTACATGCTGCTGCTGCGGAATCTCCTCTTACGTTTACTGTAAGCCCGATACATTCTGAAATTAGAAATTACGTCGTAGGCACCACAGCCAAAATGTAAATTCTTGCTGTTTCTGCCTCGACGATTCCTCTGACTATGGACGCAACAGCGCGTCATTCCTATTCAAATTAGCCGATTTCCAATCAGTTCTGTCTGATCCGTATTTAGCGAGCTGAACCTCGCCAACAACACTCTTCTGCGGTATTAAGTACCCAGCCGATATGAATCCAACTTGGTTAGTAGGGGGCATATCTAATTTTGCGAGCGTCATTTATCCTCATTCTTGACTAAATTCAGGCAGGGATATTGATTTCTCGTGATCGCATACTTTGTTCTGAACAGTGCCCCAGCCTCTAAATCCTTCATACACATGCGCAGGGTTCCGATAATCAAATAAAATATTTTCCTCTAGTGGTTCAGAGTCACTTTAAAGTAATACACGATCGAAACCAATATAATAATTATGTTTTCACCGTCATCGTTTCATTCTGCAGGTATTCTAACTAATAACAAAAAACTCGTTTTCGAAATTTCTGATGTTCTTCCACTCTCCATGTTCTTCCGCCGCGATGCATAAGGCCTTTGTACGCTAAATTCACGTACGTGTTTTCTGAACAACGCTTGAACAGCTAGAAACAAAAGCGAATTGGACATTCCGATGTTCAGACAGCGAAGGCCGAAAAAAAAAAAAAAAAAAAAAACGTTTTGCACTGCAAAATAAAGTCTGCATTTTGGCAGTGGGCATAACGTGAGCGTAGTAAACGTCATTCTCAACACCACGTCGCAGACTTTAGCCTTCGGTAAAAATGTTTTCGTGGTCTCGTCTTTCGGCAAGCTCCCTTTGTAGACTTCTCTGATTTGGCTCTCCGAGTGCTCGACAGGAAAGAAGGCGCACGGGAATTGTTTATAGTACTTGCGTGCGAGTGGAGCCAGTACTTTTCTTTTTGTTAATTACTCTTCATTCTGACTTTTCCGTGGCAGTTTTTTCTGCCTCCCTTCGATTTTTCATCCAAGCGAAGACGAGGAGGATGAATATATTAAATATATATATATATATATAAATAATGACCTGTAACAAAATGATCAGCTTTTTCTTTATTTTTTTAACGAAATTCGTCATGCTACTTTACCGTATAGAGAAACTTTATTATTATATACCCGATTTTGGAATTTTAATAGTTGATGTATATATATAATGGTTACAATTTTATATAAGGCATGTTGTTATAATAAAAACGTTTAGGAAATTGTTCAAAATAGGCTGCATTTATATTTTATTCACTGAAATTGGCGGAAACATCTTCATATAAATACGAAAATTTACTGTGGAATCCTGTAATGTTTCCTTTTCAACCGGATACATTTTCATGGCCCGATCTCATAGGTATAGAGCCTTACCGTTGTCATGTTTTCGATTGACGCCTAGAGCACTCAGGATGCCTGCAGTGCTATTTCTCGAGCTTATTTAGCTAGCCTTGTCAAAGTCTAAATTAGACCTTATGGAAACTCGCGGTCAGTATTGTGCTACAATAAGCGTGGCGATGTGGGTTAGTTGGTTCATACTGACGAAAAGGCAAACAGCGCACAGTAAACGGGGACTAAAGGAAGTGCAAACAGGACAAGCACTGCAATATATTGTGCTACAACATCTTTCCTCTGATGACACGTTTTGTCTGCCTAACCTTGTCACTGAATCCAGGGAACTGTGTCACCACACAGAAAGGTCACCTCCAAAGTATGTTCATTAAACCGTCTGCATATTCAGAGAAAGCAGGCGAAAAACTTACAGAAGTTGACAGTTATGAAAGAAAAAAGGTAAAATAAGATATATGGATCATGAAAACTTATATTAGAAACGGAAATAATTCACACACTAGCTTCAATGGGGTTTCGGGACATATATCTGCGCTTCGTGTTCCTGAACGCGACAGGAGTGCCGGCATCATTTCAAATTTATTGCTACGCGTTGTTATTTTCGAATAATGAAAAGGTGTATTTCTTAAGTAGATGAGCAGGCTTCCGAAGGAGACAGTTTTTGTAGATCACAAGATTCCCCACTGTAATATGCAACACACACAGTAGCAACTGTTTTTACGGGTCTACGTTAAGCGTTAAAACACAGCACGGTAAAATCGAAAAGGTCAAGAGTTTTTCCAGTTCAACTACAAAGACACGTAAAAATAAGCAGTAATTATGAACGCTTAACTAACATTTATTAGAGGAAATACCAACCAAGCCAATGTGCACAGTTTTATCGCACTTCGCCAACACAGGTACTGTGATCCTGTGTATTTTCATTCTGCAGTTGCACTTAACAGGAGCTAACGTTCATAGTTGGTGAGCTGTACTCCGCAAAAACAAAATCAATGAGCCATTTTTTAAATTCTCTTTCATCGTACAATTACAGAACGCTAAGCCGTGTTCTTGAAATAGCTTAAATACTGCAAGGAATTGACCCTAAAACTGTAAATCATGAGATTTTTTTATTTTTGTTTTTATTCTAAATGTGTGTTTGGATATGACCGGGCAGGTGAAAAATCTAACGTTAGGGGGTCTTTGTGCGTTTTTTTTTAGACATAATCCGCGTCGTTTTTCAATTAACCTTGACACGCGCTGAAACCGGGTCAAGCTGATTCCTGGTCTCAATAATTTTTTTTACAATGAAAGGGGCCATGCCGTTTGAGGAATCGGCAGATGGGAAATTGCTTTCGGAATCTACATTTCTCTTAAAGCAAAAATTGTTGGTTTGGAGACGCAAAACCAAATGGTTATCAGCATGCAACATAGCTAAAATCGGTCGTTTCTTGCATCTTGTTGTTCTCATATTCGGTGTATTTATTACTTCCCGTCCTTTCACTTTTTTTTCTAAATTGCGAAGGATTACGAGTCAGCGTTTGTCAGTCGACTTTGAATCTCTCCTTGCCTGTAATTCATTTCAGAAATCAAAACAACTTTAACAGAAACCAGAAAATTGAAGCGAAGTGAATAAAGGTTCGCCCACTGATCTCCGCAACACGAACCATAAAATATAATAAATTATACAAAACATAACACAGAGTTGGCGACATGGGACACTGAACTGAAGCTTTTGATAGCCATGTTGATTTTGCTGTAATATACAAAAAATATAAAAATATACCTTAAAATTATTTTTTTTCTTTTTTAAATCGCGTTGGTATAGTGCATGGTCTTTCCGTGAATATAGAAGCCACTGCGTTCTCATGGGCGGCGAGAGCTAAAGTTCCAATCTGGAACTGAAGAAAAAATATTAATTTGACTAAATCTTTCATAAGGTGTAAACGCTTTGTGCAGTAGTACATAGTAGCGGTAGCAGACAAGGTGCTGTCGCGTTCAATAGGGTTTGAAACATTCCTTTGTGTTTTTTTGGCGCAATTGACAGTTTCTGAAAAGAGCTGTAGTCCGAACTAGAAATGGAATGCGAAGGTGATGTCCCACTGTCGGCGGTAACGCGTTACAAATAACGCCGTTACCGGTACCGCAACTTTTTTAAAGTAATGTAGTAACGTGCTCGTTACTTTTCCAAAACAGTAACGAGTGACGTACTGACGCTACTTATTTCGGGTAACGGGTAACGTAGTTACGTTATAGGTTACATCTTCTCAAAACATAAAAAATAAAATACACCCACAATTTTTTTTTACATTTTGTTTTACTTGAAGTCCAGGCACAGCCGGCGCGACAAGCTAATAGGACCCGTTAGCTCGTAGCGCCGGCTGTGCCTGGCCTTAAGCTGAGACGAAATATATGCGCCAATTCAATAATTATTGCACTCATTCCACATACCTTCAAAATTTTACCTGTCTTTTTCCCGCGGAAGAAGTCCCACTTTAGAAGAAGCCTAAAGCCGGGGGAGTCACACTGCATATACCGTGATCATACAAAAGACAGTCTGCAAACAGATTCGAACGCGAGTCACCAAGAGATCTATGCTTCGAATGCCGCATGGCAATCAGTTCCAGGAGGAAACTTGCCACACGGCATTCGAAACTTGGCACACGGCATTCGGCTCTTGTTTGCACACTGTTTTTTGTATGATGTATATCTTTACAAACATGAACGGCCCCTTGCGTCCCAAGTGATTTTTGGTCGCTCCGTCTTAGGAAGCCTGTCGATCTTGCTTATGTCACCAGAGCTAGAAAGCAGAAATTCTACACGGACAACAAAATTGGAGATTTAACGAAGGCCTTCGGCTGTTCCAAATAACGTCTTGGAAAAGGCGAGTTGGTTTTCAATAATATTCGAAAAAGTATAACAGATATCGCACTTCTTTGTTTTCTTGGCAGTCACTTTGAAAATCGGTGGTTAAACGTTTCATCGACATTTCAAGCAGCCGTGTTAAGGTAGGCTTCGTTCATACTTTTTATGAACCGGAAGTTCCCTGGGACGTCGAAGACTGGAGCACCGCCTGATGGCGTTTGCGATGAAAAGGGTCTTATATAAGCAGTGTGATTTCGGCCTAACGCCCACGCCCTTAATCCCAATGTCAAAAAACGCTGTCGCAAAAAAAAAAGAGAAAAAAACGCTGTTACAGTCAATTTGTAATTAAAATAAGTAATGCAAATATAACGTGAATTACTTTCATCGGTAAGAGGAATGGTAACGCGTTCCTTTTTTTTTAGGCGACGTAGGCATATAACGCGTTCCTTTATTTTGCCAGTAAAGAGTAACGCATTGTGTTACTTTTTTCGGTAACGCCTACAACACTGTCAGAGGTCCCATACTTCGCACTCTCACAAATGCAGAGAAAAGGAGCTTGTGGGGACCGCCAACGCAGAAAGAAAGCCGGTTCGGGTCACATTGATAGTTATAGCACACAATGAAATGTTCGTAACGTTTTAACAGCAGATTCTAGTCGTTGTTTCCGACCAATATAATCACGATGACTTTGGCCTAATTTCATTAATGGTTCGTTTCTGTACAACAGCCAACTCTCGTCTTGAAATCTACCTATCCTCCGTTCTCAACCTGCCTCGTAAAGACGGAAGCGAGCAGTCCTTCAAGGTCTTCATATTCCTGACTCAGGTATGGCCTTCGTCTTTTCTTTTTTCTTAGTCTAGCGACTGTCATTTTGTGTACCCCTTCACCAAGCCTCCTGAATACGGACACCTCTGTTTATCCAAAACAGTCTTCATAGTGTGGCTCGTTCATCATAAGGAATTAAAGGGAAAAACAAAAACAATAAACGACGAGTGCGGTCACAAACACACGGTTTATCAATCCAAAGAAGGTATGACTTGGGTCTTCACGGAACTTTTTGAGCATACTTTCTTGTTCAAAAATTGTAAAATGTCTGCTTGTCTTAGAACTTTCATGCCATGGAAATTTCCTGTCTTAAGTTCTATGTACAAGTGATGCACATGACTAAGGTGTTTGTGAAGAAAAAAAAGAACATACCAAAAAACATTCATGGGTACAGTTTTCGTCTTTTTGAATTTACCCGAAAAACGCAAATGTCAGCAATCATAATTAAAAAAAAAAACGACAAAAAATAAATTTACGTTTTGTGTATTTTACACTTTTCGTTAGCTTCCGTTAAGCCCCAGGTGAGTGGTGATCTTAAAGACAGGATAGTTTTTTGTTTTTTCTTATCCCGGTAGAGTGGCAAAAGGCTGTTAGGCGAAGGAGAAAAGCTGACCAGAAACGAGACCACCGGAGAGAATCGCTTTCGAAGAAAGGCTCACTGGATATTCACATCGGACGGTCCGGTAGACTGATTAATGGTAAATTGCTGGAGCACACATTGACTGTGATATAGCTGTGAGGTCACCTCCTTCAGGGTGTGCCACAGTTCACTGGCACGAAGATCATGGCGCGGCTCGGCAACCAGAGGCCGGATGACATTTATGAGGTGTTCTACATTTCATAGTGCGAGGAGAACACGTGGATCAGTTCATCGTCAACTGCATCGGATAAACGCGAGATAGCAAAACTGGTTTAGTGTGGGACGACTGGTTCGTAATACCGGTGCAATGGTTTTTTTCGTGCTTTCGCGGATGTACAATTTTTTTATTTCTCTAAAGTAAGTTGTAAGACAACGCCTAGTTGGTTCGTTTTTTCGAGTTGTCCCTTATCTTTTTATTTGCCCTGTTGGTATTCCTCAACGCATTTCAATATCGTCACTAAGTGGTTATCCCAGCAACGAGGTAATCATGCTTATAGAGAGTAAGAGACTGAAAGATATTGTTCGTTTTCCTTATTGAAACATTTCACTGTGACAGAAAAGCTCCCGGGGGGAGTGGAGTTGCGTGCGAGCATACTCGTATCTCACTCGTCCAAGTATGCTCCCGTGAAGTTGCAAAACATGGAACGCAATATAGTTTGCACGACACCTTTAACGAACGTTGAATGGATCCCGGCCCTTGAAGAAGAAACATCTTTCTAAAACTTTCTACCAGACAGAAGAAGCGCTGCAGACGCGGGTAAAGAGATGTTGGGCCCAATTTTCACCCCACATACGTATGTAAAAAACAAAAACAAAAAAAAGACATTGTTTAGTGAAAAAAAAAATGTTCGCATTGTCGCGCTAACTGAAAAAGAAAAGATGCATTCATAATCCCTCTTTAGGTTGGGTGGCATAAGTGTGTAGTATTATAGTTGTTGGGCCACAGAGCCTGTGTGTCTCAAGGATTTATATGAAAAAAAAAAAAATATTTCGTCGGGATATCAACGCGTTAATTTGAACCATCGATTGTACAATATTTTTTGTCACGTAATATAATGGTGCGACGACACGACAGCGACAACGCACACCCTTTCCCGGGTGAGGCCGCTGGTATCTGGTGAGGTTGTTATTTCTAACCTTCAAACTTTTGTCGCGTGAACAGCACAAAGCGACATTCGACCATTTTTACTGGTGCTTTTGTGAACATTTGCGGCACAAATGTATGCCGATTCTGGGCTCGAAACTAAGTTAAGCAGAAACACCTGCCTTATCTTTGATTCATGCTTTGCTACGGTTATATCACCGACCAGCTCGCTTCCCCTTCCCCGTATCGCGAATTTTCGGTCTCATCAGTCTTTCTTGTATAGTCTGTTTATGATTTTAATGTTTAGCGGCTTTCTCTATGCGTTGTGTGTCCCGTGGACGTAACGTACACACACACAGGCACGCACGTATACACACGCACATGCATACGCACACGCACGAACTGACACACGCACATATGCAGGCGCACACACGAAACCAGGTCAAATCTAAAAAAATGTTGGAAGCAATAGCTCTAGTTTTGTTTTGAAACGTCACATTTTGTTGGTGTTCGAACGCAGCCGCTAATGCACCTCCCTTAGGGGCCGCTATTTTCGGTCTCGGCTCGTTTTTTGTGTGGACGGCTTAGCAAGTGTTTTAGTTGGCGCAAACGTTTATGTTTTCGACAAAAGGACGCCGACAAAACAAAACACGTCATGACCCCATAATTTTTGTTTTAATCTCAGCGTAAAGACGCCATGAAAGGGGCTGCAGAAAACGCATCGGGCTGAGCGCGCTCAAGCATTACTCAATGAAAAATATACATAAGATAGGTTCTGTTGGCAGTTTAAGGAAACCTAGCTGTAATACTGAAAGAAATGCGTTGAATCTTTTCTTCCATTTTTTTAGATTTAATTTATTTTCCGTATTCTTTGAACTGAGCGATATAGTGAGGGTTACGTTTTTTGTTTTTTTTATTGGCGTAGTCTTACACAACTTTGGCGCGCTTACCATATGCACTTTTCTGGACTGGGTTCAAGTTAGTCGAATGACCGGCATCTGTTCACAGTTGTAACCCTGGGAGCTCGGAGAGTTTCTTTTCAGCAGCCGCGAAAATTTGCGATAGAATGTTTTTGACTACAAGGGAGGCTACAAAACTCGAGGCTGATCCAACCGAAAACGCAGCTTGTACATCCTCGCCGCCGCAGGTTGTAAACTATATCTTTATACAAGCTCACCAGTTTAAGATTTTACTTAAACAAAGCAAAGAGAAATAAGCTAGTTCGACGAATTAGGAAATACATGTTCTCAAAAGTCTCAAAATGTCAGTCGACGTTTTTGTTTTAAAGAAAAGTTGGATAGAAGCATACAAATGATTGACTCTCAATCGGGCAGCGTCTTTTGGCCGCTACTTACGGGCTTCGAGAAAGTTCCTTTCAAGCAAACATATATATATATAGCAGTTAATCACCTTGCTTTTCTGTTCATTCGCGATGACATATAACAATACCCTCCCTTAAAAACGATAAAACTACCAAAAACAGAAGCGACCTTCTCTTGAATTTCCTGATAATATCTTATTACTTCAGCACTACCGCTAATGTTCGTACTGCTGCTGTTTCTTCAGAGCCTCAGAAATGAAAAAAATCAATACAGGAATGAAAGTAGAGCAACAGAATCTTAATAATAATTTATACTATATTCGTGGGCTTTCTATCGACAGCGATCAGTTGTATACTATACCCATTAAAACACCTTCTTGGCGTTGACCCAATGTAAACAGGAGCATTTTTTAAGTCGAACCTCTCGTTTGTAGGTTGATTGGTGTCTACCATGCTGCCTGCGAGAAGTTGTAACGCTGAGGCCGGCAAACACCCGACAAATGACAAACGCGGTTTCTCATAACGTCTTTCTTTGTTAGTGTCTCCGTGTTCTTCGTGATTGTTACGTTTTTTTTTTTGTTTTTGTTTTTCTTTTGTGAAATGATATCGATCTTGCTTGCTCAGTTTACTAAAAGTCAAGGTTCCTGGTACGTAAATTTTAGTTGACACTCTCAGGAACGGTTCGATTGAAATTTGGAAGACCGATCCCGCGATACCGTTCTCCTCTGAATGCACCCGGCCGATTGCCGTAAAATTTTGAAAACTTTGGCGGTAGGTTCGCATATAGCCAATAACAAAATAAATGCAGCTGGGCGCTCCTTTCGAAACCCTCGACCTACAGCACGCGCACGTTGCCTTCCGACGTGCTTTGGTTGCGCGTGAAAGTTGGACGCGACAAGCCGAACGCTTATCGAAGGTCGAAAGCTGACGCTGGAGACGTGCCAACTGAAGAGCAGATCCTGTCGTTCTCTGCCTGCCAATGACTATAGGACGCCACATACTTTGCTAACGTTTGCCAAACAGGCCGCCCAAAACTGAGCAGCGTCTACATGCCTGAATTGGTGTGCAGTCTACGTACGAGTTCATCCAAGCTTTGGGGGCTTGAAAATAAATTGAATATTAGAAAAGTACATTGTGCAGTCACATAATGTTTTAACAAAAAGTTCAAAGACCTAGATATTACGTTGGAAGAAAGTAAAATTAGTTTTGTTCGATCAATTGGGTTGTCATTTAGATATTACGTGGGAAAAGTAAAATTTGTTTTGTTGATACATTGAATTATCAAAGAAAAATGCATAATGACTTCGAGGCGGTATTCTGGCCGACCGACAATGACAATAACACAACCAGTGACGAAGACGGCGAAAGTAATTATAGACGACTACGACAAAAATGACGATCTCAACTTCACCGGTAACAAAAGGAAGGCCTCGTTTCTCAGTGGCGAGTGAAGTAACCTCTCGTTTTCGGGCATACTCCCAACGTTGTAAAGAACACAACTTACACCTAATAAACGCGGGGGGTAATATGTGCTCCGCGTCGCTCTGCAATTTATGTTCAACTCTTAATAAACGTGTCCTGAATATTTCACGTGGGTGTCGCTAGAAGTAGTTTGTAGAGCAAACGATAACTAAGATTCAAGCGCATCGATTGTTGCAGGGTCTGCTCGCTCTTTGCTGATCCACGCACGGGGCCCGCAGGACAAGTGTTTTGACAAATTCGTCCTTCGGGGGCTCGTAGCTTGCGCGCAAGATGAGCTCGGCGAGCTTTATGCATGCTTATTTGTTTGCATTCTGTATAGCTATTATATTGTTGGGGTGCACTGGTGCTTTATGAGAAGTTGGTACTAACAAGCCATGCGTTAATTCTCTTGAGCTGTGCGCATTCCAGATACGGAAATGGGCAAATTCCCTGCTGTCTGTTCGCCAGTGTTAGAATTAAGTTTTGAACAGCGG